CAAAGTTTCATAATAATCGGATAAACGATAACAAAAATATTTCCAAAAAATCATTTTCCATACCGATTTTTGGAAAGCTGTAATTTTTCTATTTTTTGAGCTAGGTCAGTAAATATTGTGCTCTCTATTCTCATTTGTAGAGGGGTATTCGTGGTTAAAATTATGCCACACATTTTTGAAACACCCGATATAAATATATAAATTAAAGTAATACAAAAAATGTGATCGTATTTTCAGAACGAAATTTTGTTTTGTTTTTGAGTTATGCGAATTTTCTTTGTCAAATTTGCAATTTATGTGAAAATTTTTTTTTTTAAAAATTAAATATAAAGCAGATAGTTGTAATCCTTAGAGTATAGCTTTTATGAGAAAAATGATTTTATAGTGGGTTGCCATTTAAAAAAAATATTTTTTTTATAGAACTCAAAAACAAAAGGAAATTTCGAAAAATTTTATTCTTGTTAAATCATCACATTTTTATAGTACTTTATCATTCAACAATTAGTTTTTTCAAAAAATAAATAGTTTAAGCAAAAAACGTTTGGTTCCATACTTTTTATTCACTTGGTATGTGTAGAGCTTTCGGTCTGCCTGAAAGGTGACTCGGGTGTAAACATTTAAACGGAGATATTATAAATAAAAATTTTGGATGAAAGAGAGAATCAATCTGTAAGGGGGTTAAATGGGGTGTAAATGTTTAAACAAAGATATAAACATAACATTCTTTAGAGGTATAAAGTGGCACTAAAATCAGATTTTTCGAAAATTAGTTTTTAAGGGAATAAAACGGTGGACACATTTAAAGGGATATAAAAACATTAATTTTAGAAAATATGATCCTTAGAGAGTGTAGAAGTGCACTTTTAAAATTTTAATGAATAAAATAGAGTTTAAAACAAAATTAGAAACATGAAATTTCGAATTTTGAGAGTGCAGAAGTGTACTGAGACAACACTTTATGAAAATCAACATGTAATATTTATCCATAAACATAGCCCATGCGAAGAACGAGACTACTATAACTGAATCCTATACATAACATAGGTAATTATCTTTTTCCCATTTTATATCAGAAATACAGACAAAGTCGCAGGGAAATGCTAGTTCAGCATATAAGGATGACTCGGAGGACTTGATAGATCCTCGTGGCACCTTCTAATAAACTCTTGGATCCAATACATTCAATTTACTGTAAGCTTTATTCAAATCATCGATATTAAATCATCTATTTATTAATATTGTACTGAACAAGACTGTAATTCGGTTTTCAATGTTTAAGTTGAAGACGAAGATGCAGCATATGAGGAAGACTCAGAAGACTTTATAGACTCTCTAATGAAGTGTTGCACCCAAAAAATTCAATTTGCTTTCAGTTTTTTCAAATCACAAGATTAATTGTGTTTTAAATGCGGATAAAGCACATTTTATAAATGATGTTTTTTGTCAGCCCTATAACTCGCTTATAGTTAGTCCTACAACAAAAATGCAAAGGACCATTTTTGTAGGAAATTTTGTAGGTTTTAATTTTGATAAGCGGGCAAAAACCGTTAGGAGTAATAGTTTCCGAGATATAAGCAAAAAACCAAAAAAAGACACCTTTAGCCCCCTCCCCCTCCTCGAGCTCACCTCCCACCGTCGGGGATTTTTGATATATGTCTACACAAGAATAAAGAAAGCAAAAAAAATCCAACTCTCTAAGATTTTTTTCCACCGATCGCCCTATTTTTGTCTAATTTGACTGGGCTAGTTTGGGTTTTTATTCATGGACTTACTACAACCCTGCTCGTCGGAATTATCTCCGCAGTCGTTTTTGTGGTCGCATTTCTGCGAGTGTTCTATACAACGTTGGCCATTGGCGCATCGAAATTGATCAAGTCGGCAAGCGATTCCTGAACAGCCTTGCTCATCTTTGCCAGATCGACAATCTAAATAACCGTCACATTTTTTTTCTTTTGGAATGCAAGGATCGGATGCACGGGGACCGCAATGGAAGTCGTCGGCTTGGCACTTTCTGTATGCTGCAAAAATTAGAAAAAATGCATTGAGGGGTAGTAAAAGTCACCAATTGGGCGGTTTCAAGCTTAAAACGCCCTGTGTTTGGTTGACTTAAAAAAATTAAGGTTTTTGAAAAACAAAAACAGTAATATTAAAGTCAACTCCACAAATCGATAAATTTTATTTAGTCAAGTTGGGACGTGTTTCGCACCCTTACGCCATCATCAGCCATTGAAAATTATTACACATTAAAATAAAAAAAATAAATGTTTTCCTGATTATCACAAATGGAAAAATATACTGAAGGAATAGGATTTAAACATTATTCCTCTGTAAAAAAGTAAAAGGACGAGGTCAGTGAAGCTGAAGCCTCACCCGTGAAAATTTTTGAAGAACGATTAAAAAAACAAAATCTATTTAAAATTTTTGGTAGAATGTACGAAAATGTAATCAAACGAAACACCACTAACAATGTTTTTGAAAAATTTTGGGAAAATAGAAGCGGCGGCGGCGATTACATGAGTGCATCGAGACGGGACACCCATTGAAAAATGAAAATAATGTTCTCTTGTTTAAGGTAAAAAAATAATAGTAATACTAATAACTCTTAATAATATTTGAAATTTCGTATTTATTCTAGTCTTTTTTAGTAACGTTGCATTCTTTAAAATCACTTTTAATGTCAAAGATGTCTTAAATTTTGAATTTTTCTTCATTTTTCAAAATAGATCAAATTCATCATTTATGTTATTCTATTTTGTTTTTCCATTT